CCCAATATTCAGCATTCTGTCTGCCATCATCTGAATAATGTTTCAGTGCACCACTCCACAAGATACTTAGGTCTCCCACTGGGCATTGGGAGATCTAAGAGAGAAGCATTTGAGTATATTCTGAGTTCTGTGAAAGCAAAGCTTAATAGCTGGAAAAACAAACTTCTATCTCCAGCTGGAAAAGAAGTGTTGCTAAAAGCTGTGATCAGTGCCATTCCTATCTTCACAATGGCCTGCTTCAAAATTCCAATGGCCACCATCAAAGAAATCTCCAAACTTTGTGCTTCTTACTGGTGGAGCAAAGGGGAAAATTAAGATAAGGGGTTGCATTGGAAGTCTTGGGACAAACTCTCTATCCCAAAGGCTGATGGAGGTCTAGGTTTCCTTGATATAAAACTGCTTAATGAAGCTCTTCTTTGCAAGCAACTTTGGAGGATCACCTCCCAACCAGATCTATTAGTTAGCAGAGTTCTAAAGAGTAGATACTTTCCCAACTCCACCATCTTTGACTCAAGCCCCAGACAGAATAGCTCTTGGCTCTGGAACTGCTGGATGACAGTGCTCCCCACCTTCTCAAAAGGGTTCAGAATACAGATCAGAAATGGGGAAGCCACTAAGATTTCTGACATCAACTAGGTTCCTTCCCTTAAAGCTGCTAGCCCAACAATGATTGAGCTGGCCAGAGGCCATCTTATATGGGTAAAGGATCTACTGCATAACAATGGTAGAAGCTGGAATGACTGGCTCATTTCCCAAATCTTCAATGAGGAGGAAAGTTCTGCTATTTTGAATATCAAATCCCTCAATCCAGTAAAAGCTGATAAAATGTACTGGGGCCTTGAGAAAAAGGGACACTTCTCAGTCTCTTCCACTTACTCTCTCCTCAGCAAGTCCAAACTTTTAAATATGGACATCCCTCAAGGCAGCAGCTCCAACTTGAGGATTTCAAAGACCAGACTCAGATCTTGGAAGTTACAGGTGAGCCCTAAACTCAAACACTTCCTTTGAAAATGTTGTTCTGGTACTCTCCCGGTCAAAACAAATCTCCTGAGGAAAGGTATGATGCTGGATAATATTTGCCAAACCTGTGGTGAGGCTTCAGAAACTGTGTGCCATGTGTTCTTACATTGTCCTAAAGCTAAAGATTTATGGAGCATTAGCCCTGTCTTCTGGGATGGCATCTGTTCTGATAATGTTACCTTTGAGCAATGGTGGGATCAAATTTGTTCAATTAAGAAAGGTGAAATAGCCGAAGACCGCATTCAACTCTCCACTTATCTATTATGGTGGCTATGAAAATCTCGCAATTTGTGGATCTTCAAAGGTCAACATCTCCCAGTCAGGCTTGCAGTCAAGGCTGCTCTTGATGATTGGCTGCTATTCAAATATGTGTTCAAGTAGCTGTGGATGTGTTTCTCTCCTTTCTCTTGTTTGCTTTTCTCTTTGCTAGTTTGGTCTTTGTTTTGTTTCTAGTTTTGGCAATCAGACTAGGCTTTGGCAGTGGTTAGATTGGCAACTCTTTGTTTTTTATTTTGTTTTTGTGATATCCCGTCTGTGGGATCTTTCTAGGCAGCTTTATAGCTTGTCCTCCCTGGTTTTATTTTCGGCCGTTGGTCGCGTTTGTATTCGAACCTTGTTCTCTTGGCGTGGTTATATAGTATTCCTTTCGTTTCGAAAAAAAAAAGATATATGACTAAAAAAGTGCTATACTTTAATTTTATGTATTTTTAACAAACCTAAAAGTTATACACACACACATATATTAAAAACATATGAAAGAACAATTTAAAGTTAAAAAAATATTAAATATAATAAATAATATTAAATTTATAATTATGGTGTAACACTTACCAATAACTATCAAAAAAATAATAAATAAAAATATTATAATTAGTAAAAGTGATTATAGAACTTTTAAAATTTGTACTTATCGATGTAAATGAGCCAAATTGTTCACCGCATGTTAAATTTTTGCACTTATTAGTTCTGTGTATAAATTTTAGACGACAGACAATAGTTATTTATACTTTTATCCATGTATGTTAGAAATTTATTTTTTTTAAAAAAAACCTTGATTATTTTGATTTTAAATAAAGTTTTATTTGCTATTAGTTTTTTAATATAGTATATAAATACCATATTATATATACACAATAATACTTTTTATTATTTTATATTTAATGTGCAAGAAATGTAACTCAATTGATAAGTTAATAGGCAGTCTTGCGATAAAATAATGAGCGATTTCTAAAAAAATTATATGAATTAAAAAGTTCATGTGTTTAATATATTTTTAATAGAAAAATTATAAATACATCTAATTAATAACTAAAACTCCTACATAAAATTATAATTTATAAAGGAATAAAAAAATGGTACATTGCAATGAAAATCCAATACGATATTTTATTTATATAATAGTTGTCATTGTAAAATTTTATTGACTATTTCAACAGAGATCAAATTACATTATATTGAAATTTCAGTGGGTTTAATTATTCTAGTTATCATTATTTTATTGTGTGAATTTCTGTTTGAATTTTTTTGGGTCATATTTTAAAAGTTGGAAAAAATGTCACTGGAATTGTAAAAATTTCAATGGAAGTTCTATTCGAAATCTATCTGCAGCGGTGGATACAAAATAATTGCATACTTAAGACATTATTTAGTTAATAGAAAAAGTACACCATCATAATAACATAATGTCATTATAATATTTAAATTATATTTTTCGTAATTTATCATCTTTCTCATCTGTAATACATGTATAACACATCAATACTGATACAATTAAAAAAAATAACTTTTCGAATTCAACATAAGCAAATAATTGAAAAAAATTATATTTTTTTAAAATTTTATGAACAAAAGTTAACTCGACAATATTATTGATGAATTTATGAATTAAAAATATTTAATTATAATTGTAATTAAAAAATTAATTAAATATGATATAATATAAGATATACAAGTAATTGATATATAATAAGACAGATGATCGAAAAAATTCTAGACTTATATTATGCATTTTTTGACAAATCTATAGTTAAGAACATGTGAAATAATAAGATAAAAGTTAAAAAAATATTAGAAATAACTAAGTTGTGACAAGTACTAATAAATTTGAAACAAAGTAATAAATAAAATTGTTATAATTAATAGAAGTAAATATAAACCTCTTATAAATATACTTATCGACGTAAACGAATTGAGTTGTTAAACGTTTGTTAGTTTTTTGTCTTTATAATTTTTTTGTGTAAATTTGATGTTACAGACAATAGTTATTTGTGCATTTTATCCATGTAAGTTACAAAAAAAAAAATAATAATAATAATAATAAAATAAAACAAAAAAAAATAAAATAAAAATTCTTTATTATTCTAATTTGAAATAACTTTTTATTTGCTATATTAATTTTTTTGAATATAATATATAAATATCATATTGAACATATAAAATAAGAAATATTCTATTTTTTTTAATATTTAATATGAATGAAACGTAACTCAATTGGTAAATTAATAGGTAATCTTGAGATAAAATAATGAGTGATTTCTGAAAAAAAATACAGGAACTAAAAAGTTCATGTGTTTAATATATTTGTAATAGAAAAATTATAAACACAATTAATTAATAAATACTAAATTAAAATTAATGTTTAAGAGGACTACAAAAAATTGCTATATTGCAATGAAAAATTTAATGGTAAGGTATTCTACTGAAAATTCCAACGAATATTTCATAAATATTGCTTTCATTGTAAAATTTCATTGGCCATTCCATTAGAGTTCAAATTAAATTACTTGAACTTTGTAGATTTAAATATTTTAATTACCTGAATTTCCATTGGAATTTATTTTTTTGGACCATATTTCAATCGTTGAAAAAATTGTCATTGGAATTATACAAAATTTCAATGGAAGGTCCATTGGAAAGCTAATTGTAGTGATAGATCCAAAAAAATTCATATTGGGGGGCATTATTTAGTTAATAGAAGAAATATACCATCAAAATAACATGTCATTGTAATTTATAAATTATACTTTACATAATCTATCACTTTTCTCATTTTTAATACATTTTAATAAATCAATATAGTCATAATAAGGTAAAATATATTTAAGAAACCAAAAGACATGATTTTTCTCAATTCAACATAAGAAAATCGTTACATTCTTGTTGTAATTTTCGTTGTAATTTTCTCATTTTATTATAGTAAAAGTAGGACTCCAAATCTATAAAAACAAATTTCATTATATATAATATTGTGTGCAACTATTATTATTATAATTTTGATATGATACAAAATATAACACATTCAATGTAATTGCATTTAATTTCTGATAATACGCAATTATTTTTTCAAAAAAAACAAGATACTTTGAAAGGTCCTTAATTATCTTATTAGTATTATAATAACTGAATAAGGGGTAAGAATAATGAGAAAACTTATAGCTCTCATTAAATCTAAAAGTAAAAATACTGATAATATATATATATATATATATATAGAGAGAGAGAGAGAGAGAGAGAGATAGGTTCCAATGAGAATGGTACATAATATGAGAAATGAGAATAAATCTACACCACACATTCTATTAAATTAAAGGTCAAGATCAAATCTGCTGACATTGACCGTACAGTCATTAAGCGGTGGCAAACGCGTAAATAAACAATAACATTGCGGTCAATATTAATCATGAAAGGGCATTAATGTATTTTCAGATCTATCAGATAGTTGTTTGGAGTGAATGTTTGTTTTCAGACCCATTTATTGCTTTTGGGGTAACGTGCACAATCTCAAGGCGATTTTTCAGTGGAAGAGTTCTTCGGTGGTGAGCTGATTTCTCCCCCATCTCGATTCAAAATTGGTGAGTTTTTTCTTACGATTATAACACTCGAGCTATGCCTTGCAATTCTCGGTTTTGTTATGAGCTTTTGGTTTTTTTTTTTTTTTTTATTTGTATGTTGTATAGTGTGCATCATATTGCCGTCTTCGAATGGGAAATTCTCCCAGGAAATCGGGTAACAATATCATCGAATCTCTCTCAATTTATTTGGTTCTCCGTTTTGTAGATCTGACACTATGTGTTTCACAATATATTTATTAAAAAAAAA